AGTTTCGTAATCTTGCGAAATCTAGCGTTTTTCGTAAGCGCCAACATATTTCTCGTCCTGCACTTTTGGAGATGATAGAGAGTGAGAAATCTGTCTGAAAAAGGTAGATAACACATAAACTCAAACCCTACAACGCTTTTTTTCGAGGCTTGGCATAAAATAGGAAAATCGATCAGGAACAAAGCATCAACAAAGGAATTTTAAAATAATCTTTTCTGAAAACTGTTCATGTCTCCAACCGAGAAGGAAACGAAATGAAAGTCTGAATATTAAATTTCATTGCTGAAGTCACGCACTTTTCTTCAAATCAATTACATTACAAAACCCGTTAGAAGTATTTGTCTAATTGGACCATTTATGATATTTCCGATGAAACACTGCAAATGAAATTGAATCAACTGGGAAAAGTGAACAATACCATTTTCCGTTTCTATTGCGATTTGAACTTGCAACGTGATTGGAAGGATTGAAACCTTATTAAAAGTGCAATTCAGAGAGGATTTTTATCGCTTCTTTCCACAATTTCATTGTCGAAGTAAATGTTATTTACCGGCACGGGCTACAACGGAAAAAGTCTCATGTACGCTTATTGTAAAAATTATTTTTTAATTTTAAAACGTAGGTACGAAAAATACGAGATTATTCTCTTGTCATTGGTTATTCTTCAAAATCTAATTTAAAAAATAATATATAAGTAAACCTTGATTTGAACGGCTGTTGGAAAATTCAATTAAACTCCGCCAACGCACTGCAAACACAATAATTTATTTCTAAGGAGCTTTTGACTTTTACAAATACAGAAATAATCCTTTGCGTTACTTTTAATATAAATTTAAATTTCCAATTATTGCGTTTTGAGAAAAAATTTTGTTCCCACAAATTCAAAGGTCAAAATATTCGTAATGGACAATATAACAGCGATGCAACCCAACTATGTTCAGATCATCTGTAAGCTGATTAAAGAAATCGGAAAGCTGGTAATCAGCTCAAATATACGGCCTAAGCGTCCGGCGACGAGATTCTAATTGCCATCTTCTGAATTTATTGATCTCTGGCGAGTGAATTCATATTTTGGAAATTCCGAAGTGATAGTTTGGACGGGGTTCGCCTGTGCTCCTAGTGGAGGTCATACATGTGCGTTTTGCTCATTTTTCACGTAAGTACCTACCGCCATTTTGAGTACACCTTCTTATCGTGTACTTTGTTTAGTTTTCGGCTCTAATTTTCATTAACAAATTCACCGTTACCTGCGAGTGCCGATGCTCTTGGTTTATTTCAACCTCTGTCGACACCGGGTCACGAAAGTTAACCGCGAGGATCGACACTCATCTGAGGCAACTTCCGTAAACCTTTAGCGTTTTAATTCAGTTCCCTGTTCCACTTTTTTCAACTACAGGGTTCCCTATGCACCTTGTTAAACATAATCATTCAAATTTCCATTTCGGAATGTTTTCATATAAGGTTGTAATGAGGAAGCATAGGTTGTTATGAGAAGAGTTTTACAGTCAGAACTATCGCTCATGGGCAACTGAAAAGAACTTTACGGTGATCGTATAATTAGCATAACTATCTTCCGGGCAACGTTAGACTGAACATTTGAAAACAAAACCGCACATTGAAAATGTGCTTGAAAAATTATAAACCTCTGTGTTGGTTGCCAGTGCTACCACGTTGCGACTTCAAACAACTAAAATAAATCGGTAAATCTTTCGAAAGATTTTTCAATGGAACATTGCCTTAAGACAAAATTTAAGGATGAATTTACATTAAATTTAAAATGTTGGTAGGATGCAGTAATATCTGATCTCATAACGTAATGGGAAAAAAATCGAAAAGGTAATAATATTTACGTTTACTAAATGTGAAATAGATTTGGAAGAAGTTCAACTTCAACTCTGACAAAGAGAAGAAACAGAAAAAAAAACAATTTTAAAAAGTACATATTTAATTGAGCTACTGATCAAAACAAATATACAAGGAAAGTGAGAGTAATTAATAAGTGATTGCTCGCGATATTGTTCTTTGTAATAAATAATGTTAGTGTTCATGAAAATTGGCGGAGTAGCAAATAACTTGATTCTACCAAAGGGAGTCGTCAGCGCTCACTGGAATTGGTAGAAGGGTGAGGGAGTATTTAATCAGATTATTGGCAAATTTACGAAGTGTTAATGAAAATTGACTGAATGATAAATTAATAGTTCCTACTAAAGGCAATATGTACGTAGGTAGTAGGGGTTTACGTGTATTGTTTTTCCCTATGTCTACTTTTGAATGACAAAACCTCTTCTGAAAGTCCTCTAATTTTATGAGAGAGAGAGAGAGAGAGATCGTTTATTGAACCACTTTTGTGGTATACCATTGGAACAATTACAACTTCATATAAATGTATAAAGATAAAATGTAAATAGACTATAATATAGATCAAACAAACAACAACATAACAATATTAAATGTAAAGATAAAATTTAAATAGACTATGATATAAATTAAACAAACAACAACATAACAATATTAAATGTATATAAAAATTTCGATAAAAAAGTACAGTTAATAAATTGCGATATTTGTGAAGAAGTCTTCCAGTGAATATGGTGCCATTGTGTTAAGTATTTTCCGAATTTTATTTTTAAATGGGACGAATGCCGATATAGATTTGATATTTCTAGGGAGAGCATTGTAAAATCGTAGACCCATTTGTAGATGTGATGCATCCAAAATAACTTCCTAAAACAAAATAAGATCTGGCTGTCATATTAATTAATTTGAATACTGTTGCTTTGGCTTCCGTATTTTTATTTTCGTTCATGTGCGAAGTATTCAACTGCAGAAAAAGTTCACATTGTCAATTGGGATAGTGCCGGCCTCAGTGAAACGAGCGTAAGAAATTTATTTTCTGTGAAGCCAAAGCAACAAAATTCAAATTAATTAATATGACAGACTTTATTTGTTTAAAAGTTATTCTGGTTGCATAAAATTAGGCGCCCTTCAGAAGAGTGTCTACTTCTTAATAACTATTACTGTATGTACAAGGTGCCCAACGAAACCTGTCCTACAGCACTCTCTGTACTTAAGATTTTTCATGATTCGGATACACTTCCGTTGTAAGGCAAATAAAGTATTTATATATTTCGAATTGCAATGGTAGAATTGAATGGAAAATACCATAATCTAAAAAGCATTATGCGGGTCACTCTGTAATTGGGCGCAAGTCTGTTGAGGGCCCAGAACAAGAGAGGGATAATAAATTAATAAATAAATAAATAATCGGCTGTAATTACAGTTTCGATTGAACCAACTCTCTTAAGATTCCTAATAACGAATAAAGCTTCAGGTAATCTAGCACTTTGAATAGCTACATGTACACTACCGCTCAAAAGTATTCAGCCACTAACATTTTTAAATTTTTTTTATTGCTATACTAAATTAACGGTGTTTTATATTCGTCCCAAAGGACATTTTTCCATTGTCATTGTCCAATGGTGGTATTGTCGAGCCCCAACTAATTGTTTCTTTTTATAAGGCCTCTTTCCCCAACTGATAACTCTCATTTTCTCCATTTTAGCAATGTTATTGACTAAAACTTACCAGAAATGCTTTTTTTGCATTTGAACTTCTTTACTTGTAGAATAAAGGCAGATGCATCAAGTAAGATGTGTTGTCATTGATAAATAAACATTGAATTCCAGACAACTTCAAAACTTAAATTATTATTTATAACCTGGTCAGCTGGGTATCAAGAGTAAAACTGAAGAAAGTAGTTACGACTAAGCGGATAGAACAAAATTTACTGAATTTCAACATGCGTGATTTTTTTATTAGACACAGTGCAAGCAAAATTGAGGGTGTGAAGGATAAGACCGAATTACGGTTTATAATCCTTATGAAAGGTCAGGGTTAGATGCCATTTGATTTTTGAACAAAAGTACGGTAGGACAAAATTTATACCGCAAGTAAAAGTACTTTGATCACAGGACGAGTGGACTCTCCAAAAGGTATCACTCAAAACCCTTTAAATAACATCGATCAAGCAAAGCTAACGAACCACCATAAAAGAAGTTTTATCAATTTGTTTCTGTAGCATATTATATCAAACTAGCGGTTTAACAAATAACTTTGAGATTACGGAAACCTCATAATTCAACGTAGATGTACTATTCTTTTATCTATTCCAGGGGAGCATGACTAGGATTGCAATACAATAAGACAATGCAACAAAAATTGACAGATCATGAACGCTAGACGTTGCTTTTAAATTAATGAAATAGTGGACCTCGTTGTAAGCGATATTTGTTAATAATACACCCACTTCTTGTTACTCGTTAATACAACGATGATGAACAGCAATACTAATCTAAATTATTATTACACATAAATCAATGTGTAAATATAATTAAATTGAGAACGTAAATCCAACAAGCGCGGAGGAATAGCACATTCCTAATTACATGCGAAAAGGGCACTTTTGAGACTCTCTTATTATTATAAATGTAATTTGTTATTGCAGTGTTGTAAAGGTTTTTTTATACTACTGGAGAAAATTAATTCGCGCAAAGGAACTTTTGAATCCCCGCATTAATTATTTTTTAAAGGTCCAGGAATTACCAGTATTAAAGCTCTTATAAGCACAAAAGTATGATGCTGTAATGGGTTTTATATACCTCGGTATGCACACGATTTTGCATGGATTGGACTGGCGAAAATACAATAACTGTATTCTGAAGTTTATACATTAACTTCAGTAAAATACCCTTGAAAAATAATTCTAGTGTTTTAAAACATGTGAAAAAATAAACTGTAACGACGTAATCCACTTCTTATAAATGAGACAGTAAAATATTGAAAATTGATTGCACAAGCTGAGCCAAAACAAATATGTTGTAAAATTGTTAAGTTATATGTCAAACAACTTAGTTTTACAAGATTTTACTGGCACGCATCCTAGCAATTAGGTATTTATATTTATTTTAACCAGCTTTAAAAAAAAATGAAATCGAACTCACCTAAACATCTGAAGGGCTTAACCCATCTCGCCGTTTTACATTTTCCTCTAACTTGGGACCCCGTCGTTGAACCCGACCTACACCAGCTGCCAATTTTCAAATAGTGACTGCTTTCTACTATATTTGTAATATCCCTTTTCGGGTAAACCTGTAAAGAAAATTAAGATTAAGATCGGTTTAAAAAAAGAGCCGAGGCTAAGAACATCACACTCATTTATAAACATCTACAAAATTGAGTAAAGTTATATAGTAGTGGAATCTAATTTTAGAGGTAAGCGAAAAAGGTCCCATTAAAACTTTCATCTCATGGAAAATTAAGGAGTTAAAAGGCAATGATATACGGCGATGATAAATAAATTTAATTTTGTAAGTCTTCCAAGTTCATTTCGGTCTGTTCGCCTTTTGTAGAACTTTGTTCCGGTTTTTTGACATTTCTTACATGATTATAATCAACGACTAATTTCGAAGAACGCGTTTCATGAACGTAGTAAAACAGATCTATTTATTGTTAAAAAAAAAGATCGCTCAGGGGTTATATTTACTCGTTTTTTCTTGAAAACGTTTACACCTCAGGCATTTCCCCTTTCTATTAACTGAGCGACTTCGTAAATGTGACGTTAATTCAATAAGGCTGCACATATCAAGGCTCCTAGAATTTATCAATCTCGATTCTTGCGTAATCCCATTTTATATACTTAAATACAAAGAATTCGCTTTGCAGTATCCGTAAGCTTCCACTTTGTGTATAAAATAAGCAGAATTTTTAAGTTATGCAAACTCATTAGAGAAAAATATATCATCGGTGAAGATTACGTTTTATTTGTTTATTCAGTCTGATTGGAAAATGAAAAATTGTGAAATTTGAGTTTTTGCACGATAAGATGAAGAAAGTAATAACTGCGCCTTGTTTATCACAAACCGTTGAACGACCAGATTATTAGGACGATTCAGCGAGAAAAAATCACTTTCACTTCACTTTCAGATTTTCTTATTCATTTTGTCAAACGCATGCGTGCGGGGTAATTGGTCCAAACTAACTTTGTAAGGTCCTCTTTCTTTCAAGAATTTTGTTTAACGTTCTTTTCATGTTTCGGAATAACGAATAAAATGCTGTTATTGTCACTTAATTAATTGTGTGTTTACTCGAACCCGTTGTGCGACCTGGATAGTTTTCACGTCAGAGTTTTCTTCTCGTGTCCAAGAATTGTCAGGTGTTAATGAAAATTGTGTAGTTAATCCCTTGGAATTGTCAGAAGTTGATCGAGGCTACTGAGCTCGCACTTATAACTTAATTGGGTTAATGCTTGTTTATTAGTTGATTTGAACTTCGCGCCAAGTGAGTGTAAATCATGGCGGCCCCCATGTAGGTGTCATTTGTTAATTCAGCATTAGCAGTCCATCTTAATTTATAAGTTCGTGCTACTGAGCCTCCCAAATTATAAATTTAAGTCAAAATTGGGATTTTTCTATGTGGCAGTTTCCGGAGGTGCACAAGGAGATGCGGACGTTTTATTTTCCTTCGGTACCTGCAATAACGACACTCTGTTTGGGCATTTAACAGTGCCGCTTCCTGGTAGACGAAAGAACCTCAGGGCGCCATAGACAAAGAAACAATAAAAATATGGCAGGCCGAATGGGAAGAAAGAGAGTCCTGGAGAAAGATACTAGTAGAAAATATAAACAAGTGGATCGCAAGGAAGCATGGGAAAGTAGAAGACAATTTCACACCGTTTCTAACAGGCCACGGAGAAAATACAGTTTTTTTACATAAAATTAAAAAGGATAAGGACAGATGTAGAAACTGTGGAGTATGATATGCATTTATACGCTACTTCTACATAACATATGGGTATTTACCAAACCCCAAATAATAAATGTGTGCATATTTTCCAAAACTTACGTGTTAGGCCAAAATCGAACTGAAATTAACAAGTCCTCATTGAATTCTCTGAAATGTTACGATTGGAATATTTGTTTCCTTATCTTCCTTTATTCTTTGGCTTTATGTGAAATTCTGTTAATCAGCGAATTCCAACATCGGCAAATTGAAAGGGAATATGTGTTAATATTTCATTCGATAGTCGAGGAAAATAATTGCATTGCGATTCAAATTGGGCAAGAATTCCCCCCTCACGTGTTTCTTGTAACAAGAAGTCATTCAACGAACGACACGTGTTGGATAATACTGTGGAACACAGGTAAACACCCACAGGGTTATTTTTACTTTTCCGCACCCATATATGGGTAGGTAAAGTATTGTTTTCATCTCAGAAAAACTTGTTACCACGATAACTCAAAATCTCCTGGGCACAAATTGCGTAAATTGTTGCAGGAGTATTACTTGCTGGTTGGAGAAGACACCTATTAATTTTCAGACTGGTGGGGCATATCCTTCTGCGCTAGGGAAGGTGGTGGGTCGCAACAAAATGCTTTCGTGCGGAGAAGTTCAGTTTTGAAGAAACTATTTTTTTATTCTTATATTATATTTATATAATGTAGGCGTTAACTTATACATTTGTGTCTGAAATATATAGTTATTTATGTCTTACTAACCTATCATAGCAGATTTTATATCGGTACTTTATGCCCTAGGACATTAAGTATCACCATAGTAACTCATTTATACTTAATGACAAAACAAATATTTGCAGGTCATTGAAAATTAGGAACATCAATTATTAATTGTCAATACCTACTAAATCACAAGATTTCATATAGTCAGTCTGGAACTTCTTCCTCATTCACGATGAATTGAATTATTTAAAATTACGTTTGACGTTTGGATGGTTTCAATCACATTAACAAATTCGAACCACGCATACTTAATCAAACATAGGTAATGAATTATTTTGTAAACGAATATTTACTTTGACGAAGAAAACTATTTGTAAGACATAAAATTTTGTATGTACCACGGGCATAAACTGATGTTTATACTACCTATACCTATCGGCCCTCGAGAATATAAACAGCACTATTATGCCCTTAATACATACAGTTAATTATGTCATATTTAAAAATTACCATGACTTATTACCACATATTGTAGTATTTTAATAAAATTGTATCCAAATTACTAAAAAAATACACAAATAGCCCTTTAGTGCATAAGTCCATGGATGTTTTGGCAAAATTTTGCAATCTACTCATCTCTCCCACAAATTATCATAAAATGAAATTTACTCCAATCCCTTCTGGCACAAGTTTGCCTCTTGCATTATGCGATTTTTTATAAAAATCTATTTTTGAAAGTAGAATGTACAATTTAGATACAAACAAATTAAAATTTCGAAAATTACCCTACCTTATGCAATTATCATAAAAGAGAGCTCTCTTTTGGTATACATTCTCCTATAACATTGCACGATTTTTACCAAAAACAATTTATAAAGTTTTGCATGAATTCCTACAACTGATAATTGGGCTAAAGCAATTAAAATTCCCTAATCTACCCATCCGTAACCCCCACGATCATAAAATAGAATGCACCCTTAGGTATACTTTCTGGCACACAGTGACCTAAAATGTATCATGTTTGCGATGCACGGTTTCTAATAAAAAAATTTTATATGGAGAGCCTTTTATGATCGTTGTTGGGGCTAAAGTAGGGTTATAGTTTACGGAAATGTCGAAATTGTGTCTTTCAATGCGTTAGTACGTAGTTTGCAATATTTTGAAATATTTGCTTGCTAACTTCACATTAAATGTGCAAATCTTAATTGTTGAGTTGTTAGTGCAAACTTCATGGAAATATGCACTACGAATTTTGTTCGTATATTAATTTAGCATTTATGGTATCGACCCGTATTATAAAAGACACTTTATACAAAATTCAAGAAAAACACTAAATATCCTCAACGTGAGAAGCGTACAGCGTGCGAATTTCAGGGAGATTGCAAATCATAACCTCGCAGCTTTTATGTAATCTCATCTCCTCGATCAATACCTTTGTGCATATTCATATGGTATTTTCTCTTGTGAATCGGGCAATTGTTTTACATAATATATGTCAAGTTATTGCTGCGAGGCGTGTTGAAAATATATACAGTAACTGCAATGCAGTTTTTTTTGGCAAAACTTGCAATGGAGAGACAACGATGAATACACGCTTCTGTAAAAGGGTTGTTTCTGTTTAAAAGTTTCTTGAATCCGTGGTCTTATCTTTGAAATGCTAATGATTCGCGATTTTCGCAACATCTCCAAATTTGCCTGTCGCTGCTTCACGAGATTATTCATAAACGTGTAGGTATACATGTAAATTTAATTACATGTTCAACTAGACTGTAGTTTTGAAGAGACGTGTAGTATTTTAAGCAATAACATCGGAACATACGCGCTTCCATTTAATAGCTTACCTACTGTTAGCGAGTGTATGCGCCTTAAGAGAATAATACGACACTGGAAATATAATTACATATAGAGTGTGCCATTCGCTGAAGATTCGTCATTGTCATGTCAACCTGGCAGTTTCTAATTACATACCGAAGAAGTGTGTTGAATTTGTGAAGTGTCTTGGGGTTGAATACTACACCACGTTCGCTTAATTTGCCGCGTGTACAGATTAAAATCTGAAGAGACAACGGCTGAAAGCAACGATCATTAAATTAAAAGAAATAACGTCAGTTATTTAATATACCAATCAAATTTCCCTAAATAGGAACAAAGTGATGTAATGAAACTGATATTAGAGAAACTGTGTTTGCATAAATGAAACTCTTTACCCCCGTGAATGAATAGCTATAGATAGTGGAGAACAAAATTTTCTTGTTTGTAATTTGAAAGAAAACGTAATTTGTGATAAAAGGGTACACGTACATTATCTACTTTGAGAAATTACGAGAGAAATTATCTTATATCCTTTGAGATTTCAAAGTGCTTTTAGGTTGTATAAATATCATCGCTTCGGGATGGCTCTTCAAAGTAGAAGGATTCAATAATTAATTAATACAGGTGATCATGTATACGTTTTGTCATATTTATTAGTAGAACTCCAATTATGAATGGATTATGAACGTAAGCGGACTTTTGAAGATCTCAAACAAGCTTTGGTTACTGCTCCGGTGCTCAGCTATCCTAGAAGAGAAGTAGACTTATGCGCTGGTGTTATGTTAAAAATTTTAAGTGATAAATAATAATTACTGTTATAAA